ACAATCAATCCAGCATCACAGCAATTATATATAGCTTAACTCAAATCATCATCTCAATGGTTCGCTGGCTGGCAAATGCCAGGTGTCATGACCGGCCATGGCTCTCAACCATTATCTTTGGAAGATAAAAATTCAGGGTGAAGAAAACCTTTCTTTCCAACCTTTGCAGTTCAAAGCTATAAATACAACAGCTATTTTGTAAAATCTTGGAGTACTTTCAAGACTGCTTGAATCTGTTTCCAGTTCTGCAATTCTAATCAGTCCCAAATAAATGTAATTTTCTTTGTTCTCCACTAGGTGGATTTTATTGTCAGTGAACAGAGCATTAACTACTTTTGGTCCCTCCTTCTGTTGTATGCCAGAACAACTACGCCCACATCCATGTATATAAAAGCATGCTCCATTCATGATTTTAAGAAGGAAGTGCATATTCTACCACAGCATTCTATCTGCTATTATTCACAAAGATGATGACAGGCCCCATCCACCACTGATCTTTCTAATCAGGGATGTCACTGATGTGGAGTCACATGCCTAGGACAAACAGGTGGCAGATAACTGAAGCTAAAAAATTAATCCAAATACAATCCAAATGAACTGTATCCTTAGAAATAAAGGTAGTCAATTTTATGTCTTCTTATCACCATAAAAGACAAAGCATATGTCTGGCCTGGGATGTGGCTCAAGTGGTAGCACACTTGCCTAGCATGTGTGAGGAACTGGGTTCGATTCTCGGCACCACATAAAAATATTGTGTCCATCTAAAACTAAAAAAATAAATATATTTTTTTTAAAAGCGTATGGGTCTGATACAGTGGCATATGCTTATAATCCCAGCTACTCAGGAGGCTGATGCAGAGAAATACAAGTTTGAGGTCAGCCTGGGCAATTTATTGAGACCCTCTCTCAAAATTAAAAATTAAAAAAAAAGAAAAAAAATGGGGGGCTGGGTTGTGGCTCAGCGGTAGAGCACAGACCTAGCACGTTCGAGGCCCTAGGTTTGATCCTCAGCACCACATAAAAATAAACAAAACTACTGTGTCCAACTAAAAAATAAATATTAAAAAAAAGAAAAAAAGATATATGTATGTATTTCTTAGGAATAAGAAAAGAAAAATGACTTGAGTTTACTTGGCATACTATAGTAGGAAAACACATATATGGTCTTGGACCAGATTCCTGGCTAGAGCTCCTAAAATTCTGGTAATTTCCTAAGTGGCAAGAATAAAAAAGGTGAAATAATCATCTTTTGTCAATTGGGAGGGTGGGGGTTACCGGGGATTGAACTCAGGGGCACTCAACCACTGAGTCACATCTCCAGCCCTATTTTATTTTTATTGGACACAGGATCCCACTGAATTGCTTAGCGCCCACTGTTGTTGAGCCTGACTTTGAACTCATGGATCTTCCTGTCTCAGCCTCCTAAACCACTGGGATTACAGGCATGTGCCAACGCTGGGGGTCATCTTTTGTCATTTCTAACAACCCCTTCAACTACAGCTGGGTTTATGTTAATGAGGTGACTTTCAATAAGCACTTAAAGATGGGGCTGGTTGGCAGAAAAACTAACCCTATGATTCTCAAAGGAGTTTTTAGGCCAACCCCAGACCTCCAGGAAGGGAAGAAGGGTTGAAGGTTGAGTGGATCACCAATGACCAATGACTTAATCAATTATGCCTACATAAGGAAGTTTCCATTAAAAGTAAAAGAAGGGGGTTCTGAGAGCTTCTAGAGCATGTGGAAGTGCTGACAGGGTGGAGAAGCACAGAAGCTTTCCCTACCCCTTCCTGTGCATCTCTTCCATCCACCTGGCTATCCCAGAATCCATTCTTTTCTAATGCCTGATAAGTAACTCTGAGTTCTGTGACCCATTCTAACAAACATAACCCAAAGAAGACGTCAGAGAACATCCGATATTTAGCCTATTAATGATAACTTGTATTTGAGATTGGTGTCTAAAGTAGTAGAATGGGGGACTCTCTATGGGACTGAGCCCTTAACTTAAAGGGTTGATACTAATTCCAGGTAGATAGTGTCAGAAATAAATTGAATTGCAGAACACTTAGCTGGTATCACAATTAGTGGGTATGGAAAACACCCCATACATTTTGGTGTCAGAAGTGAAGTGTTATAATCTAATAATCCCAATTTTGTGTATTCTTTTGTTTTTGTTTTTTTTTTAAAGAATTGGAACTGAAGTGTTGTGAGGGTATACAGAGAGAAAGAAACTTTTTCTTTTCTCCACTCCATCCCATTTCCATGTAGTGGTGAAGTTGCAGAACGTACACTATCTATAAATCTATGGCTAAAATCTGGAAGCACTAGTTTAATCGAGATAAAGAATGACTTGAGTTTACTTGAGTATTGAATGGATTTATTTGTTGTATAATTCAGTGCTAATTAGGAAACAAACCCAGGGCCTCTCACATGCTAGGCAAGGGCTTGAGCACAGAACTAATCCCCAGCTATGGATGACTTTTTGGAAAAAACAAAACAAAACAAAACAGAACCTTGAGGGGCTGAGTAGAGTGGCAGAACTCTGGCCTATCATGCATGAACCCTGGTTTCAATCCCCAGTGCCCTACCCACCTCCATAGACCATAAAACTTAACAGATATATCAGAATTGAGATGCACAAATTAGGAATGTTCTCAGAGTCCTGACAAAGAATTTATCAAAGAGTAAGAATAAGGGTGAGGACTCCAGATGCAAAAGTATTAATGAACAAGTAGCATAAGGGAAAAAAAGAATTGTTCCTCAAAGATACTATAAGGTGCCTCATAGAAAGCACTTGGCCATATAAAGAGTATCCACCTGGAAATAAAAGGCATTGGGAATGACTTTAGGGAGTGCAACTTCAACTGGGTTCCTCTTCTCTGGTCTCCCTTATTTGTTCTTATCCATTTCTTTTCATTTTCTCTTCCACTCTTCCTCACTCACACATTGTATTTAACTCATTGTAAATTGTGACTCAGGGTATAATATCAGTGGTAGAGACCTTGCTTAGCTTGTTCAAGGCCCTGGATTCAATGCTGACATCCCCAAAATAATAAATATATAAATGTATGTTTGTAAGAAATATAAATCTGTTTCCAGTTCTTTAAATACCCTACCATATTTGACCTTTTCACTCAGACGATGTGGCCCAGAGGTTAAGAGAAGAGTTGCCAGGGACAGTACCACACTCTTTGTCATACCAACAACTCAGGAGACTGGATTTAGGTCAGCCTCAGCAACTGGACAAGACCATGTCTCAAAATAAAAAATGAAAAAAAGGCTAAGAGTATACTGGGAGTATAGATCAGTGGTAGAGCACCCTGGATTTTATCTATATATTGCAATAAAATCCACAAAATTTAAAGGGGAGGGAGGCAGAGTTATCTATTAAATGAATATATCCTGTCTGAATGTATTAGGTAAAAATTTATCTTTACATGCCCCTACATGCATATATGGTGTTAATTTGGGGAGGTGCCAAATTTGGCACCTCCCCAAATTAACCAGCTGTTTTCCTAAAACTAAAAAGTGGAATTCCATTACACATCATCATCTATAGTTCTTTACAAAGGACTTCTTTCTTTCTTTTCAAGGTAGTAATGGGAATCAAACCCAGGGCCTTGAGCATGGTAGACAAACATTTCTACCATTCACCTATATCCCCAGCCAACTCTTGCTTGTTTTTAATTCACTCTATTATAGCATCTTTTGTACTCTGCATTTTATCACAGCGGGAACAAAACTAAAACAAACAGCCTTAGCAAGACAAAAAGAAGAAAACATAGGCATTTGCCTCATATTCATTTCCTAAGAACATAAAATCTGGGGCTTATGGGAAAATAGACCTAGTTAATCCATCACTTTAATGATTCTTAAACACAATCCTGAAGTATTCTACCATAAAGGCTTAACAGAAGTAGGAGTTCAAGTTACATAAAATTATAAAAGGAAGTTCCTCTCCCTTTTAGAAAAGTTCATGCAAATATAGCTCCCACCCAAATATCTGCAAGTCTTCATTTAATTTTTGGTCGTGGGGATTGAACCCAGGGGCACTTCACCACTTTGCTACATTCCCAATACTTTTTATTTATTATTTTATATAATTTTTTTAACATGCTGCTGGATCTTTATTTTATTCATGTATTTATATGAGGTGCTGAGAATTGAACCCAGTGCTTCACACACACTAGGCAAGAGCTCTACCACTGAGTCACAACCGCAGCCCTTATTTTTTAATTTTAAGACAGGATCTCATTAAGTTGCTGAGGCTGGCCTGGAACTTGCCATCCCCGGATTCAGCCTCCCAACCTGCTCGGATTCCAGGCATGCACTACTAGGCCCAGCACTTTCTTTCTTTCTTTCTTTTTTAATATATTTTTAGTTGTTGATAGACCTTTATTTTATTTATTTACATATGGTGCTGAGAATCAAACCCAGTATCTCACGCACGCTAGGCAAGTGCGCTACCATTGAGCCACGGCCTCAGCCCCCAGCACTTTCTTTATTTGTTATTGTTTTGAGACAGGGTCTGGCTACAGTTGCCCAGGTTGGTCTAAAATGCCTGAGGCTCAAGAGATCTTCTTGCCTCAGCCTCCAGAGAAGCTGGGTTTTCAGGCTTATGTCATCTTGCTCAGCATAAGAAATCTCATCCATCTAGGATGGTGTGGGAGCATCATCCAAATCTGTTTCATATGCATATGTTGCCAAATGATATAATCCTTAAGGACTGGGGGCATATCTTGGCCATTTTTCAAGACTTGTCTTGTTGGCCAAGACTCGAGAGAAACCCAGTAAATGCTTATTGAGCTGAGAGGTAATAAGTGGATTCTGTTGTGAGTATTCTCATACAACAGGATAACTGTGATTAGAGGGTTTGGATCTTCAGGTCAACTTATCTCTCTTCTTTCTGTATTTCCCTTCAACTCAGACTCCTAATTACTTCCCAGCAGAGAGAAAGTTCTAACACCTCAAGAAAAAACATGAAGAATAAAATTGCTACTCACGGGAGCACATCAGGATGGCTACTAATGAGCTTGCTCATACACACACAGAGGCGTTCATGCAGATCATGGTTAACATGGCCTCCTGTCTTGATGGCTTCAGCATTCCTTTCCAGCAAATCCAAAAGGAGAGGGCGCAGCTGACGGCCAATCAGCACAGTGTAATCCTTATCCAAGAGCAACTGTGCTAAAATACTCAGGATAGACTGGCGATCTTGAGGTGTCCACACCTGAGAGAGGGGAAAAATAAAATGTTCATGTAAACAGTACTCATTTGTATTGCTAGAGAAGACCAGAGAAGAGTCCTAGCGCAGAATCAAAATAATCAATTTTCAGACTTAATGAGTTTCTCTTATAAAACAGTGGTGTTTTTATGAAATAGAGGACTCGAATTAACTTATTACTAATAAGCTTCAGTTCACTGGGGTAAAAGAACTGATGCGGTACGGTGATGCATGCCTGTAATCCCAGTGGCTTTGGGCAGAAGGATCTCAAGTTTAAAGTCAACCTCACCTCAGCAACTTAGTGAGACCCTAAGCAACTTTGCAAGACCCTCTCTAAAAATAAAAAATAAAAAAGGGCTGGGAATGTAGCTCAGTGGCTAAATTTAACAGGTTCAACTCCCCATACCAAAAAACAACAAACAAACAAACCAAAAAATCCTGATACGTGAATTCTAAGTAAAATGCTATCCAGTCCCTTAAAAACAACCTATATTGCAGGGTTTCAACACTGTCCAGGACATCTAAAACCCCAATGCTCCTCTGGTTCCCTTACTTGAATGAAAAACCTAAGAAATCTATAGTTACTATGCAAAAGTAACATCTCTGGTTAAGAAAAGTCAGAAATACAAAATTAGGGACAAGGGGCAGAGCTCAGTGGTAAAGCATGTCTTAACATGTAGGAAATTTTTCTTTTTCTAAGGTTTTGAGATGTAATGTTAGTTATTTGGTGACTTTCTATTTCTTTAATGAATGAGCTCAATGCAATGAACCTTCCTCTTAGAATTGCCTTCACAGTGTCTCAGAGATTTTGATATGTTGTTACACTATTCTCATTTACCAATTATTTTATTTCATCCCTGATTTCTTCTGCTATCTAGTCATTCAATATCTATTATTTAGTCTCCAGTGTTAGAGTACCTTCTTTTATAGTTGATTTCATTATGATCTCATAGAATACAATGTATTATCTCTCTCTTTTTTTTTTTTTTTGTACATGCTAATAGTTGCTTTGTGGTCTAAGATATGGTCTATTTTAGAGAAGGATCTGTGTGCTGCTGAGAAGTTAAGTATATTCAGTCATTGATGTATAAAATATTCTATATATCTGTTAACTCTAAGTTATCAACTGTACATTTTAGTTCTATAGCTTCTTTAGTTTTTGTTTGGAGAATCTATCCAGTGGTGACAGAGATGTGTTAAAAACACCCAATATTATTGTGTTGTGTGGTCTATTTGCTTCTTGAAATTAAGAAGAGTTTGTTTGATGAATGCAGATACTCCATTGCTTGGGGCACAAATTTTTACAATTGTTATGTCTGGTTGATGTATAATTCCCATAAGCAGTATGAAATGTGCTTTGTCTCTTCTGATTAGCCTTTGCTTAAAGTCCACTCTACCTGATAGGAAGACAGAAACCCCTGCTTATTTACGAGATCCATGTGAATGATGTTTTTCCCATCCTATTACCTTCAGTCTGTGGATGTCTTTGCCTATGAGGAGAGTCTCTAGGTGATGGCATATTGTTAGGCTTTGTTTTTTCATCCAATCTGCCAGTTTATGTCATTTGATGGATGAATTTAGGCCATTTATATTCAATGTTATTATTGAGAAACAATTTTTATTCCCTGTCATTTTATTTCTGGATTTTAATTTGAATTAGTTTCTTCACTGACTATTTTTCTAGAGTAGTTCCTCCTTTGGCTGGCTTTCACTTTGTTTTTCACTTCTTCATGAAATATTTTATTGAATATATTTTGTAGTGCAGGCTTTCATTTAACTTTTGTTTATCATGGAAGATTTTTATTTTATCATCAAATATGAAGCTTAATTTTGCTAGGTTATAGTATTCTTGGCAGGTATCCATTTTCTTTCAGAGCTTGGTATATATTATTCCAAGACCTCCTAGCTATGAGAGTCTGCGTTGAGAAATTAGCTGAGATCCAGATTAGTTTCCCTCTAAATATAACCTGATATTTTTCTCTGGAAGTCTTTAAAATTCTATCCTGGTCTGTGGTTGTGGTTCAGTGGTAGAATGCTTGCCTAGTACCTGTGGAGCACTGGGTTTGAACCTCAGCACCACATAAGGAAAAAAAAATGAATGAATGAAATAGAGGTATTGTGTCTATCTACAACTAGAAACATTTTTTAATTCTATCCTTATTCTGTATTTTATCCCTGATTTCATGCTTTACAACATCCTTTACCTTGCAAATTAGTTTACCTATGTACATTTTAAAATCCTACTTTGACATTTATTCCACCATGGTGTAGTTGGATTCTGTTATTGAAGTATCTTGGTTTGTTTGAGGCAATTTGTTCCCTTGCTTTTTTATTTTGTTTGTGTGTCTACCTACCTAAGAGTATGGATCTGAGTCAGTAGACATTCTACCTAAGGGTTTATAGTGTCCATGAAGGTTTCTAGTAACCTCACTGTTTAGGGGGAGACAAATAAAAACAACAACCAATGCAAAAAATATACAGCATTAAACCAAATAGTTCCTGCTATGACATCAATGATGTTAATTGTCACAATACACAGAAATATAATCAGTTATTGCCTATAATAAAAACAGTAAGTCTGCAAAATGGTTTATAATTTTGAATGGCAGACAGGGAGAGAACAGAAGTGATGTAGGATGTGATGATTACGGAGGAGGAGGAAAGAAGTAAAAAACTAAACAAAGACTAAAAGAACAATAGAGATTGTTAGCAGAAGAGAGAATCTAGTGAACAGACACATGAGAAAAAATATATGTAAAAATTTTAAAAATTAAGAATATAAAAGAATACAAAACTAAGATATATGTATCAAACATCCTCGTCCTCAAAATACTGATCCATGAAAAATGGCTTCAAAAATAATAGAAATGAGGGGCAAAAACAAATATGAATATGTATAATGGTCCATGAACCATTAAGGTCACAAAGAAAAGGTAAAAGAAAGATCTGGATGAAAAGTTAAAGAATTGTTTCCACTGGAATTCAAAAAGTTAAAGACTTGTTTCCATTGGAATTCAAAAGATTCCCAGCTTCCCTCCTCAGCAGTGTTCGGTGAGGTCACTGGGGTCACCTGGAGGGTGATGCTTGCTCTACTCTCAGGGTAGGGTTGCTGGAATGAGAGAGGTAACCCCTAAAGGAAATGTTTAGACTTAGGTAGGCTCCAGGCTCTTTGGTCTGAAGGTTTTAAATAAGCAATTGCTGGTCCACACTGGAAGAGAATCCCAGGGATCTCCCCTGGGTTCCACTCAAGTGGTGGAGGAGCCAATTCTTAGTCCACTATGTCACCAGCAGACCCTACGTTTCCTGCTCTCAGGTTCAGTCCCCAATCTTCGCCTCTCCTGCCCCTGCCCTTCTGAATTCCCAGCGAGGCACATTTCTTCTGCCTGGTCCTGCAAGCAGCCGGATTGGAGAGCAGGGGTGAGAGCTGGGTGGATTTCCACCACCAGCTGTCCCCTGTGTAAACCTCTCTCCAGGGCTGATTTTCTCCTGGTCACTTAGGCACAGTCTCTGTCCAGTGATGTGGGTTTGCCAGGTCTGTATTTCAGGCCAAACTCAGGCTTGCCAGGAATCAGTTACCCCAGCTGTTGGCCCCTGTGCCAAGGCTGCAAAATGGTTCTTCCCCTGTCCTCCACAGGCAACCAGGAGAGATGTGGCTTCTTTCCCACACAAAGATATTGTGCAGCACCCCTTTCAATTTAGTCGGACAGTAGGTTTGATCTCTAAATTCTCTGCACCAAGACATGCCTCAGGCCTCCCCAAAATGCAGGTTCCTTTAATTCCTTTACCTTCCACTTTGCTCTCAGATCACTCTGGCTGGTGCCTCTAGCCATGCAACGGCACTGGGGATATCTTCCTTATTTTATTATATCCAATCTCCCTAGTCCCAGATTTGCTTTGAATGTCCAGTATTAAATTCCAGTAAAGAGCTCCCTGCTTTTCTGTTCACCCACCTTGCTGAGAAGCTGCCCATTTGCTTTCTTGGTTTTATACCATGGAGCAGCCAGGAAAGTGGCATTCTCTATTCTGCCATCTTGACACCCACAGGATTGATTTTTATGATTAAAATTTGCTTTTTCTTCTTATTTTTAATGTTTTAGTTATAGATGGACACAATACCTTTATTTAATTTATATGTGGTGCTGAGGATCAAACCCAGTGCCTCACACGTTAGGCAAATGCTCTACCACTGAGCTACAATCCCAGCCCTCAAGAGTTGCCTATTCTTGAATTTTATATAAACTGAATCATTTATTACTACTCCTTGCTATCTGGCTTCTTTGCTCTGTATAATGATTTTCACAATCCATATAGTGGTATGAATCAATAACTTATTCCATCTCATTAGCACTATTTTTCCTATATGAATACACCACAATCTATTCATTCACTTGTACATGGATATTTTCATTTTCCCAGCTATCACTGAAGTTACGGACTTTTGTGTACAAGAGATTTTGGGACACATTTTCATGCTTTCTCATTAACTAAAGTGGGACTGTTGGGTTATATAGTAATTGTATGCTCAACTAAAAGTAAAAATTTTATACATGCTAAGCACACACTCCATCCAGCTGTACCCACAACCCTAAAACTGTACTTTAAATTTAAAACAATTTCAAAGAAATATTGTAGCGTTTAACTTTAAAAGAAACTTCTCCAAACTAGTTTATCATCTTAGCGGTCCACCAGCAAGCAATGTCTAAGACTTGTAGTTGCTACATTCTTAGTCTTAATTTTAGCCATTCTAGTGGTGGTGGAGCAAGATGTCTCCTGTGCTTTTATTTGCATTTACCTCATGACAGGATTCTGAGATTTTTTTCAGGCATTAAAAAGCCACTCAAATATTTACTTTTATGATACTGCTGATAAAGTCTCTAACTTTCTTCTTTTGTGTGTGTGTGTGTGATGGGGATTGAACCTAGGGCCTGGTGCTACTACTGAGCTATACCATGATTACTTTCACCTACTGTTAAACTGTATTATTTTATTATTCCATTGTAATGTAT